TAAATCGATGAGAGATATAGATGTATTGGCTATTCTAGTAGGGTCGTTGATAACTTTTTCAAAGCCGAATGACTCTAGAATAGAGTTAAATTGCTGGGTAACATTGGAAGTTGTTTCCAACATATTTATATTGAAATTGCCGACACAGATGATACTATTGAAATTCGAAAATGCATTTGAAAACATATCCTCTATGCGGTTCATGAATTCAACCGTACTAGAATTTGGAGGTATAAAAACATTTCCCACAGCTATTGTGAATTTATCTAACATGATTTTCACCCAAATATATTCCACCTGATCATTACATTCACTATAGAGAAAGTCGAATTTCAAGTTATTTCTAATAACTAAGCCCACACCTCCGCCCCTGGATAAGACCCCATAAGGATAAGGATAAGATAAGACCCCATATGTACGATTCATGAATGTTTTATAGGAATTGTTAGAAATATCCCGATCTCATCTACGAGAAATCGGGAAGGTAGTGCTACCCTAACTACTTTTTTTGAGATACTTCACTACATATTGTTTTCGTTCATAGGTCTGCATAGGCATATGAGTATAGGTCACTTCACCCATTTCAATATTTGAAATAATAGACACATATAATGTTTTGATCAAGAAGTTGGAAGAATATTGTTGCAATATATACGTAGATAACTTTGACCTCTGGGCAACCTCCAATGACCTTGAATCCAATGGTTCCACTCTGAAGATTTGTTGGTTATTCACAGTTTTATGAATACAGGTGAAACAGTTTCCAATACGTTTGGAAGCAGAGCTGAGAATATGATTTTATGGCTCAAACAGCACCCACGGTGCTAATTATAAATTTTTTGAACTACTTTACTATACTGGACATACATAGAACAGAAAACAATTTTTGTGTCCATCAAAGAATTAGATTATTCATATTCCGGTTCCGTCTGCCCCATTTCACAATGATGAGGGTCTGAAGTCCCTGATGAGACGAGACAAGGAAGACTACTACCGCCACTAATCGATTCAAATTACTCCGAAGGCCGGAGCAGAACTCACTAAGATTCGACTAATACGGTCCTTGGAAGCGGAATCGACTTTAGATAAACCCATCTGAATTCCTAGTGGCCAACGATGTTTAATTCAACTAGGACGAATTTCTCCGACGGAATATATTCACATCAAGACCTTACAAGGATTCTCAGCACGTATGATTCCTTTGGGAGAGAATTTCAGAGAGTCGACCAGGGAGCGAACTGACCGATGCCGAAAAAATCCTTGAATAAAACTCATTGGCGTGCCGCAGAGCATGAAATGGAAATGAGAAGGGGAGGAAAATGTTTGTTGAATAAGTTGGGTGCAGACGTGAGAATGATAGAGTGTAATGATTCGAATCGAGCCCAAATATTTGGTGGTAATAACTGAATTATGTGGAAGAAAATCTGTTTCTGTTTAAATCTGTAAATAGTAACAAATTTACAATAGTGAATGATTTTTTATTATCGCTCGAAAGATACTTTGAAAAATTTGGACATGACTATAGAGGGTGTGCCAAATTAAGTCGGCACCACTGCTAACTCCGTTATTATTGATGCTACGAATTCAGTTGAATGAGCAAACTAGTAGCATTTTCAATGGCCTTCTCGATGACGAATACAAAAAAAATTGACATTTGCGTTTTCAAAATATTTCATGAAATGATATTTTTTTAAATAGTTTACCCTATATTTCATCATGTTATACTATTTGTCAAATATTCTCAAGTGTATCATGACAATGTCATAAATTATTGTAAATGTTGACTACTGTTCGAATATTTTTCAAAATGCTGTTTTCCCATCAAGAAAAATGTGATATGTTAGAATCCTACTTGGTTTGCCAGAAAAAGAGCGTAAGAACACTCCAACACTACAGCAATTCGTTCCTCGACAATGAAGAAGTTTTTGAGAAGAGAATAACTATAAAACGTTTCGTAATATCTGAAGATACAGAAATTGGTGTTTTAGCCTACTTTGAGGTAGATCCAAATAATTCTAACAGACATTTTTTTAGAGAAATAGCTGTTCCACCATCTGCTTTTCAACGAATTCTGAAGAAACAGTTTCTTCCTTATAAGTTAACACCAGTGCAAATACTAGAACCTGGTGACCCTGAGGAACGATTGGAGGTTTGTCAGTAGTTTCTAGTCCATCCCCACAATCCGCAAAGACGATTTAGTATAAATGTTTGGTGCGGTCTATTCATAATCAGATGGTGTATTACAAATAGTCCAGTTGAGTGGCCTCCTCGTCCACCAGACATGACAACTATAGATTTTTATTCTTAGAGATTTCTGAAAAATGGGATGTACAAAATGAAACATGATAATGTTGATGAACTGAAAAATTATATTGAAACTATTATTATTAGAATTGATGACCGAATTGTATTGGAAGCAACACGTAGTATCAAGAAAGGGACCCAAATATGTGTTCAACAAGAAGCAGGTGTTGTTGAATATTTACTCGGTATTGTATAGCTCTTTATTCGCCAAAACACAATTTTTTTCTGCTAGTGAAAGAAATGAATATTTCCACATAAGTGGCTCATTGTCATCTTCAGGAAAGAAAGTGATATGAGCTTCGTTGATAAGAATGTTATTACGAATCGAAATACATGATGAAATCTAGGCTGTTCTCATTAAAAAAAAATCATCTAATGGAGTATTTTGAGAACGCGACTAATTTTTTTTTGGCATCGAGAAGGCCATCAGAAATGCTACTAGTTTGCTCATTCAACCGAATTCGTAGCATCAATAAAAACGAAGTTGGCAATGGTGCCGGCTTATTTTGTAACACCCTGTATAACGTTATCAAATATTGTAGCTGCACCCGTGAATTTGACCTTTGGAACAAGAAATGTCAGCGAATGGTTTACTCCTGCTTATTTTGTAACACCCTGTATAACGTTATCAAATATTGTAGCTGCACCCGTGAATTTAACCTTTGGAACAAGAAATGTCAGCGAATGGTTCACCCCTGCTCATTATATTTCCATGGAGGTATAGAAGTTCAATAATTCCAATTGGCTGATCTGGGTGTCAAATATTGTTCTGCAGCTTTGCTCATGAATATTTCATACATGCACAATTTAACTGAAAGTTTTTTCATTATACTGAGCTGCTATCAGTAAATAGTTCATTTTCAGTTTTTAATATATGAAAGAAAGTCCAAAATTGACATATCGTGTGATCTAAGTGACCAATAATGTCCAAAATCCCGAAAATGAAGGAATTGTACTATATTTCATCAGTTTGGACTTCCATTGTCTAACATGATAAAATTCGATTCGAAATCCCTGAAAGAATCTGTAAAAAATTAAAAAGATTAGCAGAAAAAATAACAATTTTATTATTCAAAAAATTGAAATCACNAAATAAAAAAACACCCTAGAAAATAGCCCAAACAAATTTCCATATGAATGCTCATGAGCAATGAAACAGTTCTCAACAGTTCAGTCTCGAGAGCAAGTACGATTCGGGACGGTTCAGGATACTTCAGGATCATTTCGCAGTTGAAACCAGAACAGAGGATTTATCAATCCGAAATTATCCTCAATAAACCAGAACGCTCTATATCAACTGCGCATGATCCTGACATCCTAGTACCTGAATTTCATAGAACCAGAACAGACCTTTTGTAAAACAATAAACTGTATTAATGAGTTCAAGTATGGAGTTTCATCAATTATCGGCCAGTTCCATTCAATTATCTCATACAACTAGTTGTCAAAAAGTTTATTGAAGTAATATCAGCATTATTATCATAATCATTACTATTATCATTATTTTAACCTCATTATAAAGCTCATTCCACATCCGCTTTCAGTTTCACTTCTGGCAGGCTAACATACGAGTAAAAACCGACAAGAGCAGGACAAAGTTTGCAGAGTTATTCAGTTTGCGAGCTTCCTCGAACTCTTCAAAGTTGATTATGCCAGTCATATAGAACTTACTCGCGACACCAATCCTACTGCTATTTTCTAGTCACGTTTTCGTGCATTAATGAAGATAAACTGAAGTTGTTAGTGTAATGGGTGAATCTGAAGGATAGCAACCCCATTTTCAACAAGATTTATTCAGAATGGAATAAGCCATAAAGTCTGGCGCCGTGGAAAAATCGAATATAATAATCGTAATCATATATCATAGGCAAAGAACATCTTACTAACGTTGCCCAAGTAGTGAATATCGATCGAACCTAATGCAAATATTTTCCTTGT